GAGTTCTTGCTCTCGCTCTCTGTTTTTCAAATAATTATTTTTAAACTTCATGTAGGCCAGCGCCGCGGCTCACTAGGCTAATCCTCCACCTTGCGGCACCGGCACACTGGGTTCTAGTCCCGGTTGGGGCGCCGGATTCTGTCCTGGTTGCCCCTCTTCCAGGCCAGCTCTCTGCCGTGGCCAGGGAGTGCAGTGGAGGATGGCCCAAGTGCTTGGGCCCTGCACCCCATGGGAGACCAGGATAAGTACCTGGCTCCTGCCATCGGATCAGCACGGTGCGCCGGCCGCAGCGGCCATTGGAGGGTGAACCAACGGCAAAGGAAGACCTGTCTCTCTGTCTCTCTCTCTTACTGTCCACTCTGCCTGTAAAAATAAAAAAAAAAAAAAAAATAAACTTCATGTAAAAACAATTAAAAGATGTTTATTTTGGTGAAAAAAATATTTAATTCCTTTGATACTTTTTGTATTCCCTGTCATTCTAAGTTCTCCAATATACCAAAAGCAGAGCCACTCCGATGCTCTCTAAGTCACAATACAGTGATAGCACACATCTAACCAAACTCAGACCCTGTTCAATTTTGCAAACTAATGACTCTTTTGCTTTCCAGGGTGGCATCCAGGAACTCACTACATTTTCTTTTTATGTATCTTCCAGTTCTTTGCTGTTTTTCATGTCCTCAATGGATTGTCCAGGATCTGTAATTGGGTTATCTAATACAGTAGCCAATATCCACACATGGTTATTTAACTTAAAATAAAATTTTAAAATTCTACCTCCTAGTCACACCTACCACATTAAAGTGTACAATGGTTATACGTGGCTGATGGCTACTGAATTTGACAGTGCAAATGTCAAACATCTACATTCCCCTACTCTTATGCCATTGTCATACTGCTTTCCTTTTTGGCCATAAAGAACAAGTCTGACCCTTCTTCCTCTTCTGCATATTTCAAATTGCTAAATCTTCTCTAAGCTAAATATGAATCCTCACTCTTTTTTTGCCCCTCTCAATTATAGGTGTCTAAATATATAAAGATTTATCTGTAATCTTAGAGTGTGGTGAGCCTAAATGGGCCCAACATTCTTTGTATTAGCTGACAAAATCAAGAATGGTGAGAATGCCTCTAAGATAGCTACAGGTTCACTATTGGACCCCAGGACCACAGTCGCTTTTGAGAAAGAGCACAGTATACTGCTGACTTCCACTGAGGTTGCAGATATCTAACAGCTCTTCTGCTCGGGCTGTCTCCCATATTTTATAGGGCACTGGAAGTTAATGTGTGGGAACGTGCACTTTGTCACTCTTTCCCGGATTTTCTTAGAGTTCAGTAACCACTTTGGTTTGCAGAGACCCTGTCGAGTGCAGACTGGACAGACAAAATACTTTTTCAAATTTTGTTTTCATTCTATGTGAGAAAGAGGGAGAGCTTCTATTGCTGGTTCATTCCCCCAAGTGCCTGTGGCATCCAGAATTGGGCCAGGCCTTCATTTGGGTCTCCTAAATAGGCAGCAGGGACAGAAGCCCTTGAGCCATCACCTCTGTCTCCTCAAGTGTGCACTAGCAGGGAGCTGGGAAAGAAAGGAGAGCTGGGACTTGAACCCAAGCACTCTGATATGAGACACAGGCCTCTCAAATTTCGCCTTAACTATTGTACCAAATGTCTGCCCTATAAAATATTTTATATTACTCCCAGATTTATATCATTTAATTATAATGAGATTAGTTTCTAATGAAACTTAATTATGAAAATTACTATAAAAATAAATTAGAAAATGACACATATGAAGAGATAAGTAAAATATTAAAATGTGGAATTATGAATGACTGAAAAGATATGGGTGTGTATGAAGAGAAACAGAGAAGGAGGCAGATGGAACATGTTGAGAGAAACAAATACTAAGCAGCTGGCAAAATACAGAACAAGACTTTTACCTGTGCATCAAAAGTGATTATTCCAAAGAGACACAGGTATAATTTCACCTGAATCCTAAAGCTTTTGATAAGAAGAGCTATTTTGTATGATTCTACTTGCTACAGTATTGGAATATGCAATCCAAAGTTGGTACACTTGACCTTTTGTAAATAAAGTCCTGACTCTGCGGCTTAAAATTTTTAATGATCCATCTATGATCTCAAAATTAAACTCATGCTATGGCAAACAGTACTTTCTATATCAGGCCCAGACCTTAACATGTTGGCACCCTTCTCTATGTGGAGAAATCTGACACACATACACAGTAGGTAGTGATTGGTGTTCCCAGAACACATCCTGCTCTGCTTGTCTCCACACCTTCACACATGCTTTTCCTTTGCGCGAACCTTTCCCTTCCTTCACTCGGCCCAGGGCTTAGCTAAGGCGCCACTGAATTTAATGTCATCATAACTATGTGCACTCCACTCAGTCTCCATTTATTTTGTGCTATTTGGTACCTATGTCCCACAGAGGACATCTCTTATTATTATCTCTTTGGCTCTCTTTCTAAACTTCAGCAAGGAGTCTCACAGAGGAACGTTTGACATATACAAGATGCTAAACTGATGTGTGCTGAATGAAGAAAGAAAGATATGTCAATTATCCCCTCTGTAATCAGGTTACTGTACTAGTAGAATTCTTGGTTTGCCAGAATGAGACACCAATTCAAGTTATTTTAAAAAGTATAAAGTGGGAAGAGTGTGGATCTGTGTAAGTAGAAGAGTGTCTTTCAGAGAACCCAAGAAAGGAAGGGAACCAGAACCCTGGAAAATCTAAAACCAGAAACAAAAAAAGACATCTGGACACTTGAATGCTCTTTTATTTCTACTTTTTCCCACGTATCACCTGCTTTGTTTTTTTTTCCTCACTGCAGAACAGCTTTTCTCATACTCCTAACAGCTTTTGAAATTATGTTTTGGAGTCCAGCTGCAGGTCTTGACTAACTCAGACTCTTCTACTTCTTCAGTTCCAAGTGTCACCAAAGGAAACGTGATTGACCCAGGCTGAGTCAGGAATCACCCGTTGTGCTACTTGTCAATATCAGGGAGAAGTGAGTAGTACAGTGCAAATATGGCTGCTCACGGGCAACCCACCCCTGTGTGTTGTGATGTGGGAGGACGTGCTTAGGAAGCAGGAAGGGGTCCTGAACTGAGCCGAGAGCTCACATGGCCTGCTAGAGGCTGCCAAAAACGCCGCAGAATGCAGGGCAAGGTGCAAGCAGGAGAGTTTTAGTAACAAACTTGGATTTTAAAGAAATACTTTGATGAAGATTTTATGCAGACATAGCATCACAAGTGACCCTTTTTTCCCTATTTTCTGTATTATGGGTGGTTTAGGACAGGCCTATCTTGAACATTCATCCCCTACATCTTCAATTATTATGATATATGTGTGAAGGAAGATGGAGTCCCAAGGTGTGTGTGAGCGGGAGCAGTGTCTGAGAGTGAAACTTTGAAATTAATCTTTTGAAAAATCTGCATTGTATGTCCACGGATGATTTGATTTTCATTTTCCCCTAATGTCCTATATTACAAAAGACCCGACTAATTTTTATCGTCTATTCAAAGAATAGTGAGCAATTGATTTTACTGGGGCATAGAGCATGGGAGAGAAGAGCAGAATATAAAGGTTCCAAAGATAGAGCTAAGACTGTTCTATTTATTTGAAAGCAACTGGGAAGTGCTGAAAATTGTTAACTGGAGAAATGGCCTGATTAGAACTACATTTTAAGATAACTATGGCAGTGGTGTAAAGAATGAATTTGGTTGGAAGGCTATGAGTTAGCATGCTGCAGTATTTGGGCAGAAAAAGAAGAAACAACAACGATAAAATGAAAAACACAACAAACGCGTGGCAGAAGAAGAAATAGAAGGAAACAATTGTGAAATATAACCCTTTTGAGTCAAGGGTCAAGAATCGGGAAACTTATAGCTCTTCCCTCCAGGGACCCTCAGACGGTTCACTGACCTCTCATACCCATTCTTGGTCCCATTCTGGATCAGAGACACTGAAATAGAGGGAAAAAATCTGTAAAACAGATTGGATGTGAAGATGAGGGAGTTCCAGTCTAAGATGATGTGAAGGTTTCAGGTCTTGGTGATGAGAAAACCTGAAGTGGGGAAGAAATTGGAAGTGAATGGAAAAAAGCCAGCCATTGCATAGGGATGTGGGAACGTGACTGTATGCCTGGTTTTAAACCCATTGTCTCTGAGATTCCTTTGGGATAGTCACATGGATGTGGGTCAGACACCTATATTTTTCTGAACACCTACTGGGTGCCAGGCAGATGATGTAATTGAACTCACCAAATAATAATTAAAATCCTAGGACAAAACATTTTCTTTATTTTACAGATGAAGCCTCTGAGACTTTGAAAATAAGTCAATTGCTCAGGGTCATACTGTTCATTGAATAGCAGAGTGAGCTCTTGAATCTAGGTCTGCTGGGCCGCAAATCTGTGTTCCCACAGTGCCTCCCTGCAGGTGGCCTTGCGGCCAGGCTAGAGCTTGAAATTGCCTTGTCCATCAGGACCAAACAGGGTGGATGTGGTTTGGTCTGTAAATGCTGGTGAGTGTGTTTGTCTTAGGTGCACATGTAGGTTATAAATTCTTTTAGGGTAGAGATGGCATTATAAATTTTTGTTGCCTTCCTCCACAGTACTTCATGAAACTCTGGACACAGAAGAGGCCTCACTGAATGCTTAGACTGATCAATGATCCTGACGTCTGGTGATAATTGCATAGCATCTTCATGTTGAGGTTGTAATTCTCATGCATCATTTATTTAGACGCCTCTTCTTGAATGTAGTGCCAGGTACAACATAGGGGAAGATGGAGCGTGGAAAAATACTAGCAAAAAAACAGCTTTTTTCTTCCCCACCCTTACCACCTCCCATTCCCTGAACCTTTGTCCTTTCCCATTTCCTTTAGGATCATCATGGGGAAAACCAGAAGATCAGTACTTGGGACACTCGCCATAGACCAAGAGCATCCCTATTTATAGATATTTGCTATTCTTCCCCACAGGATTAATTAAGTAACCCAGCCTTGACCTAGCAGCATTGGGACATATGAGCAACTGAAGCCTGCTGACCTCATGCCTCTGTCCAGAAGCAACTGATGACTATTGCCTTAGGTAAGGAATTACAAAAAGGATTTGAAGAGATCAGTGAACACATGTGAGAGTTACTGATGCACCATGTGCTTTTCAAGAAGAAAAAGGAATTTAAAATTGTCAGCTGAACCAATTTTCTCCTATGATTTCTTAAAGACCATAATGCTAACATAAATAATAACTACCATGTAACTGTTTTACCTACTATTTGGTAGCTTGCTAAGTGTGTCAAATATGTTGACTTATTTATTTAAGATTAAAATTAGTTTCCTAAAGGAAATGATTCTCTGGGTTACTCCAAAGTCGGTCCAGTGAAACATGGAGGGAGGCAGAGGAAGTAGTTGGAGACAACTTGTGCAGTCAAGGGATGGAGATATCCAAAAGCCCACAGATAATCCACATGTTCTTGAAACTTTTTATTTTACTGGTACCCAGGGCCCTTGTGAAATCTTACGTGATAACTAGGACTGTATCTGTCATGTTTACTATAATATCCCCAGTACTTCAAGTATAGAAAGTGCCCAAAATATGTGTAAAATGAGCAGATAAATGAATCATTTGGTAAGTAATTACATGCAAGTTCTTAATTATATGTAAAAAGCAGGGGTAATATTTTAAGCTACTGATCTGAGCCAAAACTCAGCCCATACTGCCTAAGTATAGGATGTTATCCATCCTTCACATTGCCCCATCCCATCATTAGAATCCCCTGTTTTTAAATATAAATGTCCCTCCCCTAGCAAAGCAGATTAGATGTTTGGCAATCATATAGAACTTAGAATCTGATTGACACATCCATTTCTGCCAAGACTTCTAGTTGAAGCATGATTAGGGACAGAGAGTTCAAGGGGAAGGGGCAAGATAAGCTTGTAATTCTAATAATAAGAAAAATCAGGATCAGATGCCCTACCAGCATCTGCATCATTGCTAGTGACTAAAGTAAGACCCTAAGGTGTAGCTCAGTTCCTTCAAGAATCTGAAGGCCCGGAGGCCACGAGTTGGTCCTTTAGAGGTAAAAGTACAAGGACTAACCTTGACCGATTCCACTGCTGAGTGGTTTCAGCACAAGCAGGATTGTTCCATGTTTAGCACAGTAGAGAGCAGCCACAGACAGGATACCCAGAGGAAAACAGCCAAAATCATTTTACACCAAGGATTTCCATCCTTTGCTTAACCTAGCAAACTAAAGAATATTAGCGATAATTGCTCAATTGCAATACTCCTCACAAACAGATAATGACAATGGCCTGCTGAATAAGTCAGTGAGACCAGGGAAAAGAAGACCACATTTAGAATGGTTTCCTTACGATTCCACTCATATTCCAATATCTTGAATGATTAGCAAGGAACAGGTGGAGACTGCAAATATCTGATGCAGGGATTTCTGACTATTCACCAACTTTGCATTTCCCTCTTAATCTTGCTCCATTAGTGGGCCACATTTTGTAGCCTCCCTTGCATTAGTCCTCGCAAACAGTATGAACGGAAGGAATGCGTGCCCTTCCAGGGCCAAGACATTTTAAGAAGTAGATGTGCTTCCTTCCAACTCTCTATTCGCACCTGTACTCAGCAGTGAAAGATAGCTAAACCACCGAGGATGGTAGAGCCACAAAGCAGAAGAAGCCTGGATGCCTGAATCACCACGCGGACTAATGACACTTGCTGGACTAATGACATTTGCTAATAAGGATTACCAATCTTACTAAGAAATTAGCTTTAATTCCATAGAGCCACTAGGCATTTTGAAGGTGTTTGTCATAACAGACTAACTCTTCTTAATTAATATGAGAGGTTTTGAAAAATTTTGTTGAAAAGTCATATTATGAAAAAAGCAAACTATGCATGGATCTCAAAATTTTTTGCACCAAAATAAATGTAATTCCATTTTCCACAAACTTTTTGAAGTACTCTCATATATACCACAAATTAGATCCTCAGATTTATTACAATAGGATGATTGAGCAAAGTTCAACAAAACAAGATGCTTCAATGAGGAAATCCCAGTTCCAGTAGTTGCATTTAACAACATCATAACTGCTATAGAGAGGAGTCATTATCAGCAAGAGACATTTTCTAAAGTAATATCTTCCCTTTCCCAACAGCCATTTAGAGACTTATTGTAGGTGTCAACAGGGTGATAGGAGTATGGGCAATAAAGGAAAACAATCAAAGTAAGATAAGAACATACAACAGGGAGTACAATTAAATTTAGCAAAAACATAATTGTCCAAGGGTAGGCTAAAAAACTGAAGTTCTAGTCCATAAACCAAAGAATCAAACCCAAATGTTTAAATGGAAAGCAAAACGTGGACAGCTTTCAGCATAGCAGTATAGTCCTGCTAAATCTGCCAGCTCACCTCACTGCCTCATACAATGATCATGTGGTGACCATGCAGTTAAGTGTGTGTCAACTCCAAACTCATTAAGGAAAACTAGATAGGAGTGTCAAACTCCTTCAGATATCCAAAATGATTAGATTCTACCTGTAAATTCCAGAAAATAATGTCTTGGCATTTTATATCATGGTATAAAGAAGTAGAATTTCCAGAAACTGATACAAATATAACAAAATTGTTATAATATGAACTAAGGGGTTGTTCTCACTTTGGAATTCCCAGAAACATAATAAGCCCTCAAAAGTATGAATGGAGATGAGAGTTGATGGATTATTTGTGGAATTTCAAAAAGCCATAATATGAGTAGACACTTGCCTAGTGCTTAAGACAGTAGCATCCTATATTGGACTGCTTCAGTTCAAGCTCTGATTCTGTTTCTGACTCCAACTTCCTGTTAATGTGCACCCTGGGAAGTAGCAGATGATGGCTCAAGTAACTGAGTCTCTGCTTCCCACTTGGGAGACACAGACTGAGTTTCTGGCTACCTTGGTTTGGCCTGACACAGCCCCTGCTGTTGTAGGCATTTGGGGAGTGAACCAGCAAGTGGGAGCTCACTTGCGCTTGCCTGCTCTCTCTGTCTCTCTCTCTCTCTCTACTTCTTAAATGATTTTTTATGAAAGTCCTCATAGAAACCATACAAACTGTTGAAATCTTTACTTAGTATATACTAAATTGATCTTCTGTATATAAAGATAATTGAAAATGAATCTTGAGGTGAATGGAATGGGAGAGGGAGTGGAAGATGGGAGGGTTATGGGTGGGAGGGACGGTATGGGGGGGAAAAACCACTGAAATCCAAAAGCTGTACTTTGAAAATTTATATTTATTAAATAAAAGTTAAAATAAAAAAGAAGCCATATATTTATAGGAGATCATGCTGTGCTATTTAAAACACTTTTGTTCTTTGATTTGACTGGGAACATGTTGTCTATCATGACTGCAATATTGGTTCTCTTGTGTCCATCAGAAAAATCTCAACACTCATTTTAGATGTCTTTAAAAATTAACAGAACAGCATTAATTACTATTTAATAAATATTAGATGCAATCTTTCAAATATGAGTCCATTATTAAAAGAATAATGACACAAGGTTTTTCTTGAGAGAAAGGTTATCCAGAGTTAGAAATCAGGATAGTACTGTATCACCCAGCCACAGCGTGGATACCTGAATACCTCATTCTGTTTACATGTGAAATGGATGTGCTAGCTCCTTTGACATCTGTCATTTTTATGGGAAGACTGGTAAGAAAATCTATATAAAGTGTAGTAAGTGGCAGGAAAGGAAAGGGAATGGCAGGCAGAGAGATTGTGTGTGTGTGTGTGTTTGTGTGTGTGTGTCCTCTGTGTTATTACAGAACATTGCGAGTGTGCTCCCCTCCCACCGTGCAAATAAACAAAGGACATCCAAATGAGGACAAACAGAGGCTATTTACTCAGAGCATGCTACATAGCAAAAGATGCAGGCACCCTCACTTGTGTTTGGCAGAGACTCAAAGACAGGCAGGGGAATGGGAAAGCTCTGCCCTGCTTAAAAGGTGCTCTGACTGGAAGGAGGGTGGTGACTTGGGAAGCCCTACAAGACTAATGTGAAGCAAAGTATTCTTTGTCATTGGTTTGGGGGCAAATATTTGGCTTTATCTAGCTGTGAGCTGAAAGTGGTGGGAGTGAGAATGGGAGTTGGGGAGGGAGACAAAACGTAGGAAAACTGCAGGTCATTGACTATGTCCTGACTGGCACTGTGTGCGCACTGTTGCAGCAGGGGATGGGGGCAGTGTGCTATTGTCATACATGATCTGGTCATTATTCATTTCCTTCTCATTCTGCAAACACCACCCTCTCAAACTTGAACTCCACTGCTGTCATTAAGTTTTCTTGAACAATGCTTCCTTCAAATAATTTTACTTTAAACTCCTACCTCATCTAGAATTTGTACCACATCATTAAATACTTAATTACAAAATGTTTTAGCTGATCTTCATTAATTTTTGCACATTGTCTCTCCAACCAGGTTATAAATTTGGAAGTTGGTATCATAGTTTATACATTCTCTTCTATTACATAATAGTCTATCGTACCAAATCTATGTAGTAAATGCTCAGTGGATAATTGCTAACTGAATATTTTCTATAATACTATTCAATTGAGGTATAAAAAGGAACGTAATTTTATCTATCCATCACCATTCCAGATGCTGACTTCAGCTCCCATCATCTCAATTTTCTTGGAACTGGAAGACTTTGTGCGTTAAAGTTCTAGGATCCTGAAGAAGGGCTTCTCTCATATCCAGCAAAAAGGAGGCTAGTGATTGTTTTTTGACATCTAAGCCCTATATTGCAGTGAACCCTCTGAACAATTCATGAGATACATATTAGGCTTTTAGTAAGAAGGGAATAAGGTCTTAGGGGTGAGAAGAAAATAAAAGTCAAGTAGTTCCCTTAACATCCCTGGGAGCAGTGAGAGCTGTGGCAGAAGAAATGAGAATGCAAGTGAAGAGCTGGATGAATATGGACATATTCCTAATGAGAATTCTCCACATATTTCTGAGAAAACTTCAAATAATTTAAGTACAGCAGCTGGAGTAGAATCAAAGTGGAGAAGCTACGTATGTATTTCCAACCAAAGCC